TTTTTTTTTTTTTTTTTTTGTACCGGGAATTGAACTCGGGTCCTTGCACTTGCGAGGCAGGCCACTAAACCACTGAGCCAAATCCCTGGCCCTTTAGTTATTAATATTTTTAAACCAGCTGATGGGGAAGCTTCACTTCACAAGAAGTCACTTTATTTCCTACCTCTATCCCAATTTAATTTGGAAATTTTAATATGTACTTTTAAGAGGTGGATTTTCCTTCACCCCAAAGACGAGATTAAATACTATTGGATGTACAGGACTAATTCTAAAGCAACTTTGGATAAAAGTTTTGGAGTGGAGCTTCTGCCTTGCTGAGTTAGGTGGATAAAATTTCTGTTGAAATGCAGCGGTTTTCTTTTAGATGTCTGTAGTTCTTGTACAAAATCACAAAGGAGTAGGCTGGGTGTGCTTGTTCTTTGAGGGAACCAGTCGAGGGCAAAACACTATTAAAATGAAGAGTGGAGGAAACAGTATATCCAGAAGAATAAAAACTTTAGACTGGCACTTATTCTAAACTGAGTGGTTTTTTTTCCAAGAATTCACTATGTATTTGTTCATTGTATAATTTCTGATGCCAACCATACATACTGATAGTTCTTATAAGTGCTTATTTATGAATATCACTGCATGACTATTTGGTAAGACATGGCTAGGTCTTTAAGAGTTACTTGTTATTATTGGGAACATTTCCAAAGTGCTAAGCTATATTAAATTTTTTTCTTAAAGAGATTTTTATATATGATATTTACTATGTTACAAATCACTCTAATATATATAAAACAATTATTTGTAATGCAGTTCTTTATAACATGTAATGTTTCATTGATAACTGCTAATTTTGGTCAAAACTATTCTTTTAAATTTTATTTTAAATGCTTTAATAAAACTTTATAGAACGGCTTTTATTCAGGATATTTTAGTCTCTTGCTTTTTTTCTATCTGATGATGTCTTTATTCAGATGCAGCAGAATTATTAAAAGCTAAAATTAAGTTATAGGCTTCAAAGCATTATGATGTTAAATATTAAAATTAGATTTAAATGTACAGAACAGATTTTTTATGAACCTTAATCATTTTTTCTAAAGTCATTTTAAATTTATTTGTATGCAGAACTCATTAATAAAATTTTGAAACACTATGACTTTATTTGAATCATACCTGTATTTCTTAGAAAAATGTACTGGAAACAGGATCTGCAGGCTGAGTTGTTATTTCATTATTCACCTTGTCTCTGTCTAGTATTCTTCCTTGAATTAAATGAATTTGCCCTAAATCAGGTTACTCAGTATGCTAGTCTCATCAGATAATTACAGTTTTAATTAATCCTTTCACCCTTAGTAGCTATCATAATGGTACATATTGCTCAAATGAAAAATAAAGGTGAGAAAGATTAAAATGTCATGGAATAAACAAACATTTCATGACTCAGTTTTTCTGATCGTCATCTTCGTGTTCAGCCACACAGTCGGACACACTAGTTCCCTCCCTGCGTGTACCCGCCACCCAACCACCTACTGGCTGGTAGTTGGGTAGAGAACACAAATTATCCTGATGAAAAGGGGAAGGGAAATTTGTATCCTAGTGACAGTATGAAACTGTAGGGTTAAAAGAAGCACCATAAACTGTTAACAAGGAATACCTTTAAGAGCTTTTCCCTGCTATACAATACCTGCCCTTCTCACAATGAAGTTCTTTCATAGCGTTTGAAAGTACTTTGCTCTTAGTAAAGGCAGGAGTCCCAGCTCTCAGAGTGGACGGCTCCATCCCTTGACCTCTCATCCCTGCTCCTTGTGTGCCCTGATTACGGCTTCCTCAGCTTGTACTGATTTTTCAGAATACTTCTTACGCTGGTTATGAGCACATGAAACGTAATGCTCAGGTTCATGCTTGGCAGGATGCCTGGCATATTATAAGCACTTGGAAATCACTGCAGCTATGTATCATGGCTAATTATGATTTAAGAAATAATTGATAAAGTAGAGAGAAGGTATATAGGATACATTGACATAATACTTTCTAAAAGACAAGCAGAAAAGGTTTTCTAAGCCTCCATTTTACCGTAAAATATCTGCCCAAGCACCACTGTGCCTCTTAGATCTGCATTTACTCAGTGCAGTATTCAGTGTTAAACGTGCTGTGAAAGCGATGAGCTTTTCCACCGTAGTGTAGAGAAACTAAGGTTTGGAAGGGTTTTCTGAAGACGAGTTCAGTGACGAGAGAGGTGAGAAGCAGCCGACAACAAGAAAACAAAATCCAGCAAACCAGATGTCACGGTTCCATAATGTGATAATTCCTACCCTACCTGCCGTGTGTGTCCTCAGTTAAGATGCAAACCTCTCCATGCCTCCTGTTCTGTAAGACCAGGCGGACGGGAGATCCCACCTCGTAGCAGTTCGCACATTTAATTAGTTCATACTCCAAGAACGAACAGGAAGTTCTTGTCAGCAGATTTGTTTTTCCGGGGGGAAAAATAAAAACGGGACTGGGCAGTCATTGTTGTTGACTGCCCCAAAATGGCTGTTGTTGGTTTTCAATGTTTTATCTCACTCTCACAAAGCTTCTTTTTGTCTCTGATACTTCATAAGCCTGTTCTACAGCTGAAGTTGATATGTTACATTACAGTACATAAATTGTAGATTACATAAATTGTATTCAACGGTCTAATTCAAAGAAATAAAATACTGTATTTTAGGGTTTTGTGTTAGTACTATGTACAGAAACTCTAGCTTCAGCAAAATAAGGAAATGACTTTGACTGGATTCTGGAAAACTCAGGAAAGTAGTTAAATCCGGAAGGTCGGTTAATAATGCTTATTCTGTCCTCTTAAATCTTGCTGGGTCTCCTTCCCCGAGAATCCTTGCTTGGGCAGCCACAGACCTGCGTCTTCCCTTCACCCACACTGCCCCCACCAAGGTCAGCTGTGGCGCTGGCCCAAGTCTGATTGGCCCAGTTATGTCACCTCCCCGTCGCGTGCAGGAAAAGGTGGCACTTGCTCTCCTTTATGCATGACTTGAGCAGGATTGCCATGGAATGTGGAGTACAGATCCACGGGTACCAGGAACTCTGAGTTATTCGGTCTTATGGAAGTACACTTTTGAACACTTTTCATGGAAAAAGCATTAGTTACTTAGCAGTCCACCTCATTCCCAGGAACAGGGCACCTCTGTAACAGAACCACAACTAGGAGCTGTCACCATGGATTCGTTGGTCATTAAAAGGTGAGCTACTTCAGCAGCTAGAGGAATACGCAAAGCATTTACATTTTAGAGTTCGTAGAAAAGGCTTAGAGACCCAGAAACATGTTTTCCCATGCTAAACGCTACATTTGTGAAACATATTCGTACATAAATGAACATAGTCAATCTGAGTCTAAAAAGTGAGGGATAGGAACGAGCAGCCAAAGTAGGGTAGGAAGAGACACCAGCTTTGGTGGCAGGAGTTCAAATGTGCCACTTACTAATCACAACTTTGGTCAGATAATTTAACCTTTCTTAAGGTTTCTCAGATGTGCAACAGGGCTGGTTACATCTCACAAGTTAATTGTGAGGATTAATAATGATCTATTCTGGAGAGACGAAAATAAGTGATCAAATGAGGTGTATCAGTAGAGGAAGAACATCATTCAGCATTTAAAAGTAAACTGCGACTCCCCAAGCTTTTTCTTCCTTAAGAGAAGCCTGTTGATATGGAATATTTAGAAATGTATTTTCTTACCTTATAATCCCGCTCCCTTTGATTGAAGTCACTCCTGTCTACACAGACACGCGTAGAGGTTTTGCTCTTCCACTGAATGTACTTTGCTGTTGTGGTGAACATGCAGCCTGTGGGACAAGCACTTTTCCACACATAACTGTGCTTCACTGACTGTTTCCATGGAGGAGTAACAGAGAAAAAGCAGCGGCCAGGATTGTGTGCTGAAGGCCAGGCTTGAGTTCAGAATGAAGCCACCCTGCTGGGGTGGGGGGTGGGGGGGTCTGATTACCATGGTCAAAGGCCACTGTCTTCTCTTTAACTGGGTTGAATATCAAATTTCAGATTTTTCTCTGCCAGTTGGTATTAATTATGGGTAAGGCACACTTTTCACACAATCTATAACAGCACGTCATAGGTGTAAGATTTTTAACTTTGATAAGAAATAATCCAGGAGCTACCATACATAGTCATGAATACTGAAAACTTCTGCATATGATGAGAAATGAAGGCTTTCTGAAGTCTTTTTTTTTTCTTCTATAAGAACTCCCTCCCCCAATCTTAAATTCAGCTTTAATCTTCGCTTCTAAGCAATATCTGTAGCATTTACTCTCCTAAGCACTTACAGTGGAGCTCCTTCAAATGAGTACATATCTTCACCTAATTTTCAATAGGGAAATAGAATCACTGGAACCAAGCAACACAGGAAGGTCTGTTTGTGTTAATTGCATCACACACCATGATCAGAGTCTTGAATACGGAACAGTGGAGCCCATGACTCTGAAATTTAATTTTATTGTAAGTAGCATGCAGTCTGTATCCCGGGTAGGAAACGGAGACATCTGCCTGGACAATATTGCCATTTTCTTGAAAAACAGGTTCAGCATCATTTAAGTAGACACATTTGCTATATCTTTTTAGGCAGTAGTTCTCAAAGTATGTCTCCCAGAGCCATAACTAAGAATTTGGTAAAAATGCCAATGCTCAGACTCCGTGCTAGACTTACTAAATAAGAAATTTTACGGGCCTAGGTCAGCGATCTGCACATCAAGACCTTCCAGGGCTGGGGTATTGATGCAGCTCAAGTTTGAGAAGTACTTTGTAAAGTAACACTAGTGGGATAAAGGGTGTGCTTCATAGCCTACAGAAATGGCAACCTGCAGGATTTTGCATGCTCAAATCTAGCACTTTTGTCTGTGGTCACTGAAGGCAAGGGCAGTATGGACTCACTGTTATTTCCTCAGACTGCAAACTACAGAAAGAAACCACTACCTTTTTAATGGCCACAACCAAGCTGTGGTGTGCAAATGGCAATTTTCTATGGCCAATATGTCAGGAAATCTGAACCAGTCAGGAAAAAGTAATTCCATCAAAACAACTAACACCAAGAAGATTGGGTACTTAATAGAGCATTCCCTCATTATAGCATAGCATCCCTTAATTAAAAAAAAAAAAAAACTTCAAACATTGTACTTATATCATTTCTCCCAAAAGAATTTATTGATTGGGTTTAAATTTGGCACTGCATGTGAGTATGCATTTTATTTCAGCATTGACTCTTAAAATTTCAGGTTTGCAAAAGTTGGAGAAAAAAGTAGTGCGTGTATGTGTATATACTTAATGGCCTGGGCAGTAAGTTTCTGTGCTAGAGATTTAAGAGATTTTAAAATTATCTATAGATAGGGGATATTTTAAATAAAAATAAAACAGTACCGAGTGTTTAAATTTCTCACAATACATTGCTCAGCATCTGTGAAGACAGATGTATATAAGAATTTGCATGTACACCCAAAGGGAGTGTTTCTTTACATACAAAGTCCATGATGTTTTCATAAGTTTAGATTGTGTTTGCAATACAAAGTTTCCATATGTCTTTATTTGGCTTCCTGAATGTTTGTGTCTATCACAAAATCAAAAGCCAATGAAACATAACTTGAACAAACCTGTTTTGGTGGATTCTGTTTGTATGGTGCCAAATATGGGCGCACATAGAATTGTAATGTGGATGTGGTGGTCATTGTGAGAACAACTATACTTCTAAACATGCACTCAAGTGTGTTTCTCCTGGGCTCATTTTCCATAAAATATATCACCACTGAAAAGTGTACATTTTCAGGCCAATGAAAATGTAGTAGAGCTGCAGATTTTGAATATATCTAGAACACTGTGATTACCCAAGTGTAGTCTTGGCCCAGGGACTAGCAATTTCTTAGAGTAATTAATATGTTCATTCTGACACCTCCACTGGAATCATAGCCTTATTAATCTTACTATCCTGCAGTGTTTATAAACATTCTCTACAAACTCCTTGTTTAATTAGGAAATTCTTTCCTTTTTCTTTCTCACCAGTAATTCTCATTTCCAGCTGTAGCTAAATTTTTGTTTCTGCTTTTAAGTATCTTTTTGATTAACTGCAAAGTTTGATGGAGTCCACAAGCATAATTAAATCAGTATACATTGTCAGTTGGGTTTTTCCTTCACTGCTGAGAGGTTGCTAGGATACTCTTAAAGATACAATTCTCTTGATTAACTGCAAAAGCTAGATTGCCCAAGTAATATTTTTATTCATTCATAGAAACACAGTTCAGGATTACATTTAAATTTACCACAGGATGATTGCTATATATCTCTGGAAGCTATTCATATTACAGGGATGTGTTTAAGTATGTAACAAAGAATGTGTTTTGAATAATAATTTAGTGGATGAGAATTGGTCATCTTTATTTTAGAAAAAGAATTTATTTGGGTTGCTCAATATATATGGATTTGAAGCTGAAAATTCTGAATTTTAAATTGCCACTGGGAAATGCATCTTCATTTTATCTCTAGCTCTACAGAAATCCTATTGTTATTGCTATGTTATTGTGTGTTTGACTCCAAAATTGCACAGAAATTGGAACCATTGGTTGATTTAATAAAATAAAAAAGCTTACAATGCAAAATGGACCTTCATCTGTAATAGTTTGATGTGGACAGTTGTTTTGAAGTTAAGGACTGGCAAAGGCTTTAATGCACAGGTGTTTCTACTAACCATTATGTTATGGCTAATGAAACTGAAAATAACTGTGTCTGAATCTGCTCACTGCCATGATGCAGTCATCCATTTGTCTATTTGCTGATTCATTTAACAAGAGCATGTGCGGGCATGTGTGTGTGAGGGGCAATTACTAGAAGTCATAAAAGGATTTTTAGATAACACTGTGACAAGATTTTCATTTTGGAACAGTTGCTTCCATACTAACGTGGAAGACTGAACCATTCAGGAATTGCAAATAAGAAAGAAAAAAGGATCAGCAGGACTACACTGCATAAATGAATTTTAGAGTTACTTATAAGACAGAATTGACAGCCCTTGGTAATCAGTCAATTAGACATGAGCGTGAAGGAGAGAGGAGAGGCCCCTGTACCCAGAGAGATGACCCTGACACTGAAACGAGGACTCTGGGGAGTGGAAAGTGACGAGAAGCTGCATCTTGAAATGTGCTGAGTTTGTTGTGGGACATCCATACATACCTGCCCAGCAAACAGAAGTAAAATCCCTACCAGACGTAGTGATTTGAGACTCAATCACACATATATAGAATTTATGGCCATGTGCCTGTACAAGGTTACTTGAGGTGTAAAAAATAATACCTGAATTATACAATTAAACTTCTGAGTCTATCTTTTGTTCTTTTGAAGAGGAGATGCTATCAGTTTTTGAAGACTGTTAGGAAGAAGAATTCTATTATTTTTCAAAAAGCTTTGATCCTTAATTATTTGCCTCTGCTAAACTTTATAAAAGGGAGAAGACATTTTAAATTGTTTTTCTGTTGTTACAGAAGACACAGGTTCATTGATGAAGCAGACAATTTAATAAGCATAAGAATGTAAAATTAACATTTAATTCTATCAGCCAATTTGAAGTACCTTTTGGTGTGTGTGTGTGTGTGTGTGTGTGTGTGTGTGTGTGTATTTCTGGATTTTTGTATCCTGTTCTTTTACTGTGCCAAGATTTCAAAATTGCATCTTTTTAATTAAACACATTGCCTAGTTAAATGCATTGCATGGTTCAATAACCAAGCTTATACAAAATGGTACACAGTAAATTCTTATTTCTTTCCCATTGCAAGGGAAATATAAACAGTTAAAAACACACATTTTATAGAAAAACCACAACTTCTTTAATACCAAATAGTTTCCCTGGTGTGAATATTCTGCAACAATGCATAAGATTCTAATAAGATTACTGACATTTAGAAATGGGAGGAAAGGAGCTAAAGGTGTAGGGAAGGTGTGATACATAGGGGAAGAACAAAAAGGGAAAAGAAAAAAATGTGAGAGAATGAAAAGATGAAAATAAAGTGTTTGTAGATGGGGAGGGGAGGAGGGGGTGAAGGGAGGGCAGAGGTAAGGGGAAAAAATGAGAATCAAGACTTGCCATGTAAAGGTACATGATCCCAACAATGAATGTAACTGTACTGTATCCCTAAATGTACCAATAAACTCAATAAAAAAAAAAAAAAACACACATACATACAATTAAACTCTTGTCACTCGTTTCTCAAGAATCCTTCCACAGCTTTTACCAATACATTATGAATTCTTATTCTTCCTCTTTGGTAAATGAGTAGCAACATGCTTTATACATTGTTTTGTACCTGGATTTATTTTTCACTTAATATATTTCTCACAGCGGCAGGTAGTTGTGTGCATCAGTTTAACTCATCGTGCTACTGTTACTTACATGTTAATAGGAGAGAATGTCACAGGAAGTTGGAGAGAGTTTGGAATGGTATCTACAAGCCAAGGATTGCCAGAAAACACTAGAAGCTAAGAGAAAAGAGGGAAGAGATACTTCCCAAGGCCTTTAAAGGGTATATGCCTCTGTCAATGGCTTGATTTAAAACTGCTAGTGTCTAGAACTGTAAGGGAACAAATTTCTGTTGTTTTAAAACCACCCAGTTTGTAGTGGTTAAGGCAACCCCAGGAAATCAATATGCAGGAAATGAGTCTGCTAGGAATGCCTAAACTGCAGAGGTAAATGGAGATTAAAGGCAAGACAGAGATAATTTTGAAAGAGGGACCAGGGGGCTCTTGCCTCTAGCGGACAAACAGCCCTGAGCATTTGGTTCACCTTGCCTTTATCCAATTTAGACTAGGGAGCAAGCAATTAGGTAACTAGAAATCCATCTGTTTCTCATTATTTGCAAAGTGTACCAGGTAAGTATTTCTCTAAACTAGATCTCAGCTGTTGCTGACTTCTTCTGGAACTTGCCATGTGCCAGCGTGCTGGCTTGTTGCCAAAAGAGGATCAGCTCGCTGTTCCCTCCTTTGTTTCCAGGGGGAGGTCCCCTGGGCCTCACTTTATGTCTAGTTCCTACATCAATACAATGCCTTTTCATATCATTGTAGAGAAAGACTTTTTTTACTTTTAAAAATAGCTTCATGGTATCCCATTTTCATGAACACACCAGAAGCAATTTACCAGTGTTCTGCT